TCGCCGCGCCCATTTTTTATATGTAATTAGAATTTCTTGTAGAATCTCGAAATTCATTTTTCTTCTAAAATTTCTGTCTTAATTTTGCCGTTCACCGGTAGCTGCACTTTTCGGTTTCTAATGATTAGTTTGAAAAAGTACCTCAATAGGCTAGATTGTACCTTTTTTGTTCCATTTACACGTGTTTCCCTCTATTTCTAACGATCTCTGTCAGTCGCTTTATCATGGTTATAGCGGTCACTCTACTGCGCATATAATAGTGTCAACTGGTCATATCATTTGCATCAATGCTTGTTTTGTAAAGTTTTAGTGGAATGTTTAATAAATGTGAGACATTATAATCACAACTCACTTCCACTCCTCGAGATTCCAACTCTGCCAGAGTGGTCTTGTTTCCTTCCTCATTAATGTCCCAAAGGACGAGTCGAGCACCTAGTTTTCCGAATTCGTACGACATTAGGCGACCCAATCCACTACCAGCTCCAGTTACCAGTACAGTTTGGCCTGAAACAATAACTTGATACCCGGCAACTACGACCTGATTGATACCTCGAACATCTTTTCGTGGCAACCATCCAGTTGGGAAAAGATTCCGAATTGTAGAAATTATAAGAAGAAGAATAGCCTTGAGTGTAACAAACAAACTCTCGAGAAACTCTTCCATGATTAGAACTGAAATAAAAGAGAATGAATGTTGACTGTCCACTACTTTTTCTTATCATAGTGTGTTGTGTCTTGGATAATCAGTTTCTCAAAATGGTTTCAATAAACATTGTGATAAGCGGAAAGATATAGTGGGGAAAGTTGAGAGAGACGACAGAAAATAGGTAGAGTGGAGCCACGATTTTCAGGAACGAGAGTTGAAATGACATACTCTTCGATTTCAAGGCAAATTTTATTGAATGAGGTTGAAAATCGGAGTGCTCATCAGATATGAGCGGAATGAAAAAAATGGAAAATCCGGAAGTAGGGAGTAGAAACACAATTTTGCAAAAAAAATCCGATTGTTTTTTGAAAATTTTCAGAATCACATAAAAGAGTACTTTGGGCTCCATTAAACAACGCTTCCAGGGGTAGTTTAGGATTAGAAAATACTTTCTAATTTTTAAACCTTAAAATAGAAATTGTTCAAATTATACGGAAGAACAAAAAATCCGGAAGAAGGAACGAGGAAATCCGCTCAACTCTGGGGCTCATAAGTTTTGAAATAGAATTTGAGCTTTTTTGAAATTTTGAAACTATGGTGCCAAGAATAGAATACAGTTGAGTGCACATGATCAACTACAACGTCGAAGTGTGTATCTGTACTGTTTTCTTGATAGCATTCAGAGAAAACTAATTGATTGCTGTATGTCAAATTCCATGTCTAGAAATTGCATGAGTACTACAAAAAGTTCTAGATAATTAGCCATAAAAATTACAGAAACAGTGGTTCCTGTTCAGTCAAATAGAAATTTCCAAGTTTCCTATTAACGATCTACGAATTTCCTGAACACCGAACTAATCGAACTTGTAAGATTCTGATTTACCTATCATCCGAACATTACAAGTTTGCAATTTTTAACTCTCGGAATGTGGAGTTTCTCAATGTAGCAACTACTGGAATCCTGAAATTTCGAAATTTCTAATTAGGAATTCTTCAAATTTCTGAAACTCTGAGTTTCTGAATTTGCGATTTTTCTAACTTCCAAATTTACTAATTTCTGACTTTTCAAATATTTTTTTTCGAATTCGTAGAATATCGAATTTCTGAGTTTTTTGGGAATTTCTGAAACTCTTTTTTCTTTAATTTCCAAATTACCGACTTTAGACCTCGAAGTAAATAGTCTCTTTTTATGAGATTAGGGGTACTGTAAGGAGATTCAACACAAGAGCAAACCGACTGGTTAGACATACAAAGTACAGAAACATGAGTACCTGTTCAGTGGTTTAAGTTTACGATAAGATGAGAAAGTGCTCAAGAAGACTAAAGGAAAGAGAAACTAGCCACCGATCTAAAAATGAGTAAATTGGAAACATGAGTATTGCTACTCAATCCACGTACTTGACACGGATCACAATGAAGTCGTCAAGCATGAGTAAGTACTGTAATTGGTATTGGAGAGACTACGAGAGAGACATAATGATCAAGTTTTGTGTGATGTTTTGTGTTCTACGATTGTTTACTGTTTTCATTTTCTGTGTCTCGATTTCAAATCACCGTCTCCGTCTCGCCATTTTTTGAATTCACGTCATCTATCTCTTCATTTTTTCTATTTGTTTTCAGATGGTGATTGGCATCTTATTTCCTTTTTTCAATTGTATTAGGTCCGGTTAATTATACTGAGACACAAGAAATACAACGAGAATGATGTCTATTTGTTTTGAATTTCGAATTCGCCCATTTTCTTTTCTATTTCGAGTTATTTAGAAAACCTTTAAAGGTTTTGAATATCACATGATAGAATGATAATCTCCCTGTCAGAGTTATGGAATTAAAAACAAAGATAATTTAAAACTTCAGAAGAAACCTTTGAAATGTAATCAGTATCTTCAGAAGGCCGAAAAACAGAGAGCCTGCATTGTTATACTGTAGTTCTTCTGACGCTCAAGGGTTGAAAATTGTACAGGAAACTTTCTCTAAACTCATGAACGTTGCCTATTAAAATTCACCAATATCTGTAGCTTCTTAGAAAATATGTTAAAAAATAGGCCTCATACTTTTGTTGTCTAAAAAATCCATTGAAATAGATTAATTATGTTCAAAAATTAGACATTTTGCAAACAACAATGACCCGTTGAATTTTTAAAAATTCGATTGAAAAATTTGGTGTATAAAAGAAGAGCTGTAAAAGAAAGCGATGGTTGGTGGAATTGAGAATAGAAAAAGTTAAAGGAGGGATGAAAAGAGATGCATCCGGGTAAAGGTAATAATTGAAAATCGGTCCGTAACAATTGAGGATCAATTAGAAATTAAAAAACAAGGGGATGATCTTAAAGGAGAAACTGAGAAGATGAGTTAATTCAGTCGTCATTGACGGTAACCAGTGGAGCATGTGAATCCTGAGGTCTTGGAGCCGTTTGGTCCGATATCGTTGAATTTGTTCTCTTTACAATTGCTGCTTCGGCTGGCTGATCAATCGAAGGAACCAGAATTGAGACCATCTGAAAAAAATACATTTATTTTTTTTTTGAAGTGCGAATTGGAGTCGTAAATCAGAAAATTCTATAAGACCCTAAATATATCCTAATTTTAAACCCTAAGTTCCCAGCCTCATTGAATTCCAATACACCGGAACTTCAATTGAGTGCTACCCAAGCTATCAACTTTGAGCTCAATTATCTCGATTGCTGTGAAAGATGTCAAAAATGTGTCAACTAACCAAATATTGGTGATGTTATGATAAAAAATTTATCAGTTGAACATTTTTTGATATTTTTTTCCAGGAATCGAGATAGTTGAGCTCAAAGTTGGGCGGGCTTCAACAAGATGAAGTAGGTTACGGTACGTGTGGTTCAAGAAACTACGGTTGTGAAATCGGTAGTATAGAAATTGCCTAGAGCTTATTTATTTTCAAAATTCCAGACATTTGGTCATGTGGATGTGTGTTCGGAGAACTCCTGAAAGGCGGTATTTTTTTGGCAGGAAAGTCAGCTATCAATCAGGCAGAAGTCATTTTTGATGCTCTGGGTATTCCAACAAAAGATGAATTGAGCATGATGAGAGTTAGCAGCACAAAATACAGAGAGATTGTTCAAATGTATGAACCTGATCCACTGAGAAAAACTGCGGATTTCAACTGGCTCTACGAACAGAATTCGTCGAATCAAAGAGAAAGACGGACTACTGTATTCAATGATGTAACAATTAATTATTGATGAAATGGGATAATTTGATTTCGATTTTCAGAAAATTGATTCATCTGACATGAAACAGGCCACCGAACTTCTTCGTCTCATACTGGTGTACAACCCAAAGCAACGATTGGCAGGACTAGATTTGCTCACCAATCCATATTTTTCTGATGTAGGGAAATTTTTGAAAAAAAAACACTTTAAATTGAACTTTCAGCTGCTCAAAAGCAGCACTCTCCGCTTTAATCGCCAAGTAATTGGCTGTTTGACAAGGAATGATTTGAAAGAAGTGGAAAAGGGAGATACGTCAATGACAAACGAAACGACTGAATGAGCTGATCTTGATTCTCTTGATTCTCAATATTCTTCAATAAATATTTATATTGTAATATATTTTTTTCGCGTTCAAATTCTCTCGAAGACTTACCGATTCTCTGTAAATCGATTCAATTGTAAATCAAATTTGAGTTCTTCAGTCCTTGTGAATCGACTCTCTGTAAAAAATGTAAAAAAACATCTATCAGAAAACTCCTGAAACAAACTTTCAATCTCTCATTTTCTCAAACCTCATTAATTACGATAAACAGGAATTCAGAAATTGAAAATTCGAAAACTCCGAAATTCCAGAATTTCAAACTTCTGAAACTCTGAAAATTCTGGAAATTCGGAAATCGTGAAATTCTGAAAACTTTAAAATTCTGGATTTCGTAAAAGTTCTGAAATTCAAAAATCTCAAATTCGGAAATTCAGTGTTTTGAAATTAAAAAAAAATCACGGTAACAAAAATTCGTAAATTCGGAAATTCGTACATTCGGAAATCGAAAATTCACCGTATAAAAATCACAGTAAAAATCATAGAAACTGAAAGCTGAAAAATCCAGAAAATCGAAAATTCAAAAGTTCAGAAAATCAGATATTCATAATCCGGAAAAAAAAATCAGATATTCATAATCAGAAAATCATTCATAATCCGGAAAAAAAAATCAGATATTCATAATCAGAAAATCAGATATTCATAATCCCATTGAAAAAACCAAATTGTCCAACATTAAAACAGTTGTTCAAAAAATCCATTAAATCTTTATTCTATAATGACAGAATTTAAAAAGCAGTTTGCTCATCTCTCGGAGAGATCCTTTTATTCACTTTTTCATGTACACACTTCCTCCAAACTGCTGTGCTCCAAATCCAACAGATTGAACATCAGCTCCCGAAGATCCAGTGTTTCCTTTCTTGGCGGCACCGGAAGCCTTCGCTCCACCACCTCCACCACCGGCTCCACCGGCTCCACCTGAAAATGAATTGATGAGTATATTTTATAAAGTAAAATTTTACCTTTAGCAAAGACACTGGCTCCATATTGGTTTCCACCGAATGCAACAGAACGGACTTCTCCAGCTCCACCGCCTCCACCTCCAGCCCCTCCAGCTCCTTTAGCTCCTCCAGCTCGTCCGCCTGCACCACCACCATATCCACCACCACCAGCAGTACCAGATGGCTTAGCGAAAACGCTTCCTCCAGCTCCTTGAGCTCCAAAAGCGACCGAACGGACTTCTCCATTCTGATAGACTTTTCCGTTTCCGCCACCCCCGCCACCTGCTCCACCACCACCACCAGCTGGAGAAGGTCTTGCGAATTGGCTTCCACCAAATTGCTGAGCTCCAAAACCAACTGAACGGACTTCACCAGAACTTCCGCCTCCACCTCCAACACCTCCTCCAGCAGCGGCGACGTTAGCAGCAGCAGCGTCTGTCTCTCCAATACGGTTGACTTGTCCTTGAATATGATCAGGAGATTGTCCAGTGACAGCTCCTTGAACATTGGCCTGAGCCAATTCCAATTTAGCTTTCATTTCAGGAGTCATCTTGGCACAATTCTAAAATTAAAAAAAAGTTTTGGAATTCAAAAGAAAGTTGGCTTGCCTTGATGTAGGCATCCTTATTTTCGCCTTTCGGAACGAATACAAGTTGATCATTGAGTCCAACAACCACTTGTCCAATTGCCTTTCCTCCTGGAGGAATTTCCCCTGGTTTCGCGGCAACTGCTTTTCCTTCGGCATTGATGTAGATATCAGCAATTATGTCTCCAGTCTTTGCATTCTCCGGGATAGTGCACGGCATCATTTTGGCATTCTTTCCTCCACCAAGTTCTTTCCCAGCGATTTGAACAAACTGAATTTCGTTGTCAGAAGTTTTGACAATAATTCCAACTGGAGTCTCCTTTTCCTTCGGTTTACCCTCCAACACTTTCATAACTGGCATTCCATTGTCAGCAACATCGACTTGTACGGCAACAATCACTGAAAAATTCAGATAATCAAAAATTGTATATCCTCTCAGAATTGCTTACAATCCTTTCCAACAGCATCAATCACTTTTTGATCGACTTTATCGGCGACAGCGGCCTTAGCAACATCTTGGGAGTTCTTTCCATCCATCTTAGCAGCTCCCAATCCATTTGGAACGAAGATTTCCTTTCCATTGATCAAATTGAGTTCTCCCTCAAGATAGTTATCATATCTCAATTTATGGTCTTTGGTCAAGCGATCATTCGGAATGAACTGAGGAGTTCCTATAATTTTTCAAAACGTCATTTCTTTGGAAAAATTTCTAGACCCACCTCCTGGACCACGAACAAGAATTCCTTTGCAGTGATTGAGTCCTTTTGCCAACGGACCAGCCTTATAATTGTTCTTCGCATCGACCGGAACGATGATAATAGCTCCTCCAATACCAGGAGTCATCACAGCATCAGGAGTTAGAGCTCCTTCGATCTTGTCTTCCTCATCTTCCTCATCAGCGATGTGACGGAGCGGACCGATTTTACTGAATGATTATCAATCAATACCTATTACTGAACCTGAGCAATCGAAACTAACTCTCTATCAGACCCATCATCGACACCTTCGTCATCCTTCTTCCCTTTTCCTGCTCTTCTCTTTTTCTTGTGTTTGGCACATTTTTTAACTTTCCCATTTTCAAAATGTTCACACTCCTCGCACCGAGGCTGTACAACAGTCGAATATTTTTTGCCATCCACCATGACATCAAAAACTGCAAATCCCTCGCCAATTTCAACGTTCTCTATTTCTCCGGTTTTCTTCCTTTGAGCAACTTGTTCAGGAGTGAGTCGGGTGCCTTTTCCTGCGTCGACGAGCTTAAGTAATTCGCGGTGGGTAGGAGGTTGTTTCTCCATTCTTGTCGCTCTTTTATTGCCACTTTGAAGAACTGTTTGTTGCGGAACGTTTCCAAACCGTCGGTGATATTATTATCAAATTGAAGTGATTTTACCAAAGGTCCGAGATGTTGACTAGGATAAAAGTTACACGTGGTGGTCTTTGAAACGACTAGGGGTGGTCACGAGTCTTTGAAATGGTACCGAAAAATTCCAGGTTCCGGATTCCGGATTCCGCACTATGTGCTTTTTTTTCCGCATTATGTGCTTTTTTTCGCATCATGTGCTTTTTTTGATTCCAGATTCCGGAAAATTGAATTCATACCGGATTCCGGATTCTGGAATTTTTAGTTTGTCCATATTCCGAAAAAGTTATTTTATTGCGGATTCCTGATTCCTATTCTCAAAAAAGTCATTTCGGATATCTATGATATGTTATGATATGATACTAGATATGATATGATACTTTTTATTTGTTCATTTCTATTGCGATGAAAAAGAGATTCTAAAATTTGATGTGAATTATTTTTCGCGATTCACAGATCCATTTATAGCAGATTTTCCTTCAAAAACGTTTTCCCTGTACAAAATGAACAAACGGTCCGTTGACGAGCCGCCAACGGCTCGCCCGCATTGCCAAGGCGGCGACTTGATGTTGTTCAGCCGACATTTAGCAGTTATCCGCCAGTCCCGCTTGCCTATGTCAAGATTATGCGGTGTTGTAGGAATGTCATATTCTTAACTTCCCTGGAGAAAGGTTTGGACAGATGCCACTAATTAACATCGTAAACGGTGTGTCCCATACCTGTATGATTTTTGCTTGACTCCATTCTCTCCAATATATATTTTTTTCAACCTTCAATCTTTCAATTATGGGTTCAATGGTCAATTTTATTCTGGTGTTCCTTTTCGTACCACTAATTTTTATCAAATTTGGAAGCGAACCGAATAACCCCTGAAAACTGTCGAATGTTTCGAGATGTTAGATACCAAGGATTACGAATGGGACTCAAAAATCAGAATTTGGACAGAAATGTTTGTTATTCAAATCAAACCAGTTTGCAACTATTTGTTATATCAAAGTGGAGAATTTTTCAAATGCATTCTAAAGGTAACTATTTGAAATATTTTTGAACATTTTTTAAATAATGCACGTTCAGTTTCCAATCGACGAATTCAAATTGAACTCTTCAACATTCTACAACAAGCATTCTCTCGAAAATTGCCAACTAGATGATATTGGACTTCAGGAACTTTCAGATTTTTCAAGAAGGGAATGTGGAGATTTGGCAGTCAGAAATATGATGGAACATGAAGAATATGTAAGAGCAACCGTATGCAAATCAATCAGAAATTAGTCATTTATTGTTCCTTTATCTTATCTGTCACATCTTGAAATCAATAGAACATATTTCTATCACCTGCATAGATACATTATCTTATTCTTCTCATTTCCGAACAGTCTCTCCTGACTATACATATACTCTCTTGTTTTCAAAATGACCCATTCTCATCCCCCGATTCTTCTATTTTTCATTGTTTTCATGTCCTTCTCAGATGTTCTTTGTGCTTCCACACCAATAAACAACCCACAAGATTGTCTCACTAAATTGAGTAAAATGAAAAATGTTCTTCATAATTTGAAGTTGGAGCAGAAGAAATTTGGTAATGTAACTATTGCCAACATGGAACTTTTCTATGAGATGTGTACTGATACCACCGTAAGTTTTATACCAAAATTTAGAGGAGCACTGCGTCCCAAAAATCCTTGTCAGAAATCGCGCAACAGATATTTAACATTTAGGCCAGGAGAAGCTTAATAATTTCAAAGTGAACGTGGGTTCGACCTGTATATTTTTAATGAACGAGCTTGTTGTACGTTTGATACTCAGCCAAAAAAAAAAGAAATAGAAGGGAGATCTCATTCTCGCTAGGGTGCGAGTTCTGACGATGGGTTTTGGAACCCTGTGGTAATGCTTAACGAAAATGTTTATATTAGGTTGGCGGGAAAGTCTTTGTCACTCTGTTTGTTTAATCACTGTTCTCGTATATGGAGGCTGTGTATGATATCGACTCTAGTGAATAACAAGGTGATAAGAACCTTCCATATAAACAAGTCCCCATTTCCTTCCCTGCTCCTCATCTGTAATTGAAACGATATGTTTGTTCCCACTGCTATTCACATCAGACATGTTTTGATTTACCTCTTCCTATCTCACACCACGATGAAGGATTCGGAAACTTTCTTGAAGAATGTGTACAACACACATGCCCCTCACTACAATACTATTCGCAATTGGTTCCATCGTTTCGAAAAAGATGACTTCTCGCTCGATGAAAAGGATCGCTCTGGGAGACCCCGTGAGTTGGATTTGGACAAGCTGAAGCACGCATTGCAATCGGATCCATTTCAATCTAGCCGTGAACTAGCTGTCACATTCGGAGTTCACCATAGCACAGTCCTTGAAGGTTTGAAGTCTCTTGGAATGAGAAAACTTTTTGGTCGATTCATACGTCATCACCTGACTCAAGCCAACCTTGACCGCCGAGTCGACGATTCGATTACTCTTCTCACTCTCCACGCGGGCGATCGATGGCTGGACCGGCTAATAACCGGAGATGAGAAGTGGGTCTTCTACGATAATCACCACAGGAAATCCCAGTGGGTTGGAGAAGGAGAGAGCCCACAGGATGTCCCCAAACCCGACCTTCATCCGAAAAAAGTTATGCTCTCTGTGTGGTGGGGAGTGGACGGCCCCATCTACTGGGAACTTCTGCCCGAGGGCAAAACAATAACTGGAGACCTCTACACTACTCAACTACGAAACCTCAAGAAAGCAGTCGACCGTTCGGCCCTGAAAGACAAGAAAGTGTACTATCAACATGATAACGCTCGCCCACATGTTTCGAAACAAGTGAAGCAGGAGCTGATGGGATATGGATGGAATGTTCTCCCTCACCCCCCGTATTCTCCTGATCTTGCTCCTTCCGACTATTGGTTATTTGGCGATATGACACGTGCCTTCGAAGGAAGAAGCTTCAATTCCCGTGGAGCGGTCGAAGCGGCACTCAAACAATACTTTGCCTCACGCCCGGCTGGATTCTACCGCAATGGAATCCATAAATTGAGGGAACGTTGGAGACATGTTGTTGATAATGATGGACAATATAATTAATTATTCGGTTATTTTTTCTTTGAGAAATAAACTATTGAAAAAGTGACAAAGACTTTCCCGCCAACCTAATATTTTTATTTTTAGAGTTGCATAGAGACAATCGTCATGCCAGACTTTCTCAAAGGACTCCTGGGAATTGGAACCATGTTTTTAAAATCGGCTTGTGATGAGTATGGGTTCAACGTTGGACCATTTAATAAATGTATCGAGAAGGTAGACTTTAATCGTTTCACAAATTACGAATTATAAACTCTCAGACCAAGTTTGAGTTAACAACTCTCAAGAATATTACAACCGCTGACCAAAAACCAAAATGCGAACTGTCTAATGGTGAGTTCTCCGAACTTCAAAAATTTGTTCAGACGGAATGCGGAGATGAAGCTGTTAGTGACTTACTGAAAAATGAAGTCAGAGTCAAAGATCTTACTTGTTCGAAGGCTTATTAACACAACAAGGACGAAAGTTTTATTACTCTGATTCACGAAGAAATCCAATTTGTCGATCATCTTCTTCGGAAGAATCTTTTTTTATTGATGTTATTCTGCTGATTGTTGATGCCGGTTTGCATCCAAAAGAGTCCGAATTGAAGTTTTTATTTTCTGTCATCTGTTTTAAATCATTCATTCCACATTGATTCTCAACTAACATTTGAGCACAATCGAACTGAATCGAAAAATTCACAAGTTGGCGATTGGCTCTAAACTAAATAACGGAGAAGAGAATGTGGAGACTTAGCAGTCAGAAATATGATGAAACATGAAGAATATGTAAGAGCAACCGTATGCAAATCAATCAGAAGTTAGAACACCCCTAGTATTTTTTTTTGTATTCCTGGTTATTGTTTCGTTATCTAATCTTCTTCGTTATCTAATCTGTTTTGCTATCTAATCATACATTGATATCAATAGGACATATTAAAGGTGGGGGGACAGGAGATTTTTCGTAGTTTTTTTGTAGCTAGAGTATGCATTCTACCGTGACGGTGTACAACGCTTAATGTCACTCTGCGTACAGATGTCGTCCTCGCCTTTATGTATGCAATCGGGCGTTCGCTTTCTCTTTGCCCGCGTGGCTCAGTCGGTAGCGGAGCCGCACCCTCAATCATCGCCCTCACAAGTTCAACTCCTCGAGGGGCATCTTTGAACGGAATTTCGAGAACATTATTTTTTTTCATGTCCCCCCACCTTTAAAACCATCAACATATATACATTGTTCTCAGTCCCGAATATTTTCTCATGACTATATATTCTGTTCTCCTCAAAATGACTTCTCGTCACCCAATTTTCTGTTTTTCATTGTTTTCATGAACTTCTCAGATGTTCTATGTGCTCCCACACCAATAGACGATACCTATTGTGCCAATAAAATAGAAAAAATGAAAAATACGGTTGATAATTTGAAGTTGGAGAAAGAGAAATTCGGTCATGTAACTATTGAAAACATGGAACTCTGTTTTGAAACGAATGCTGCGGCGGAACTAAGTTTTACACCAAAATTACAAAATTACAGTAGGTGAATTTTGAGCGTGATTTGCGGTGATTTTGTTTAAAGCGAAATGGTATCCGGTGGCTGGCGACCGAGAGTGATTCTTGTAGTCAGCGATCAGCGCGCGGAAATTTCGTGTTCGAACTTTCAGGGTTTTTTCCGGAATTTTTTTTTGACATTTCTGCAGAAATACAATTTTTAAGTAAAGAAAACAAATGATTCCGTCAGAAATCAGTTGGAATTCTAATGAGCTGGTCAGTTCGTAGAAAACTCACACTCAGCCGTCAGCCACCTGATACTATTTCTTCTCATCTGAGGAATTTTTAAATGTTTTCTCTATTTTTATGTGAATCTACTTACTTTTTGTACAAAACGAATCAATAAAGAATTAACCGCACACCATTAAATAATGAAAATTTGAATATTATCACTATCTGAAAAAAAATGAAGGTTAGAGAGTATTTTTTGCAGTTTGAATACGGTAGGTTTCTCGAAGCGGTAAGCCTAAGTAGCACATATTAGGTGGAGACGCAGATAGTTTTTCTCTGCGTCTCGACCTTCATTCTTTTTCAGCGATAATAATGGAAATGTAGTAATTAAAATTCCAGAAGTGTATCGATACAATGGACGGGCCATTCCTTCTCAAAATACTAGCGGGAATTGCAAACTCTTTACAAAATCGAAATGTATTCAGCGTTGGACCACTCAGTAAATGTATAAAAGAGGTTGACTTTGACGTTTTCATCAACTCCAAATTATGAACTTTCAGACCAATTTTGAGCTAACAACTATCAAAAACACTACAACCGCCGACCAAAAATGCAAACTGTTGGGAGACGAGTATTCCAAACTTTCTGATTTCGTTGAGACGGAATGCGGAAACGAAGCTGTTGATAACATGTGGAAGTATTAAGACAAAGCCATTGATCTTATTTGTAAAATGGATTCATAAGACAGTAAAAAAGAAAGTTTTATTATTCTGATTCCCGAAGAAATCCAATTTGTCGGTCGTCGTCTTTTTCGGAAGAACCTATCTTTTTTGATTCCATTCTGTTAATTGTTGATGACAGTTTGCATCCAAAAAAGTCCGCAATAAAGTTCTTATTGTCATTCATCTGTTTTAAAGCATACATTCCACATTGATTCTCAACTAACATTTGAGCACAATCGAAATCTAAACCGAAAAATTCACAAGTAGGAGATTGGTTCTGAACAAAATAAATATTTTTGAAATATTCAATTCTCAACAAACCACATTATCCCAATACTGTAAACAAGGATAGTCTTTTGATGATTCTTTGCTTTGGATCTAAATAATTGTTGTCCTCTTTTTTGAATTTTTGAATCGACTCACTATTCTGATACACTTGCCGAACGCTGATCCGAAAGCATAGATTCCTGTGCACATTTCCGCAATATCTGCTATTTTCTTCGATATTTCCTGGTCCTTTTCAGGACAATTAATCATTTTTGTGCAACTCTGTAATCTATTTCAGTAAGAGGCAGTGATAAATGATCACTCACCAAAGCTCTTATACAGTCATCCCCAATATTTGAAGCAATTTTCATAGATGGAATCGGCCTGTGTGAGACCCATTGAGCTATGAATTCCAGTGTAAGTTTGTTACAAGAATTCTCATAACTGAAGTGTCCATCACAGTCTCCAGATACAGAAAAAGCTGTGGAACTCAAAAGGAAAATGAGAAAAATGGATAGAATCATGAGAGTAGGGAACTGAATGGGTGGAAACAAAAGATAAAATGGGATAAACCCATCGAAATACTAGTTGATCTTTTTCATTTTTTCACATTTCGTCACACGATGCGTTTAGGTTTAGATTATGAAGAAGGAGGAAGGGAGATGATGGATTATTGATTTTTTGAACTACAAAAATAACGAGGTCATTGGAAACTGACAAGGGAAGTGTTTTCAGACAGTGGTTGAGAATTTGTTCAAACATTGGTACTTTTGGACACGCTGATCACAGCGCTGCTTTTATTTTTTGCCCCTTGCCCCTCACAAAAAAGTTATGTTCTCTGAAAGTGATTTCAGTGCTAATTTCTCACTTTTGGAGTGAATTTTTGGAGGGGTTAATAACAGTTGTTCGGAGTTTCTCGAATGTAAATCGTACTTTTGAAGGTTTCTCTACAATCTGAGAAAATAGCCTCATTTTTCAAAAAAAAAATTTTCGGAAGTAAGTTTTACACCACCACCCCACCTCCTTTGGAAATTTTTACAATTTTTTGAAAAATTTTCAAATGTGCTAAAATGATTTCTAAACGTAAAGAACCGATAAAATTAGTCTTTTCATGAAATTTGGTATTCTAAATATTTCTGGAAATCACAAATATGTGCTTTCTTTCAAAACTTTAATGGATCGTGGGCCTTCGGTAATCACCCAGTAGCACTCAAATCTTGTAAAAACATAGGTTTACATAATTTCTGACTAATTTATTACTGTTCCGCATCCAAACTGAGCAAATCTGGGTGGTTCTGACTAACGATTTGATTAAGGATGGTTTTCCAGCAGTTCTTCAAGAAAATTTCAAAATGATTTCTTGGGTTTTTTTGAAACAAGTCAAAAAATTTTTTTTTTCAAAATTAATAAAAATCTGAATGGAAATTTTTTTAAAGGTTTTGACACACTTTGAGATTTCCAGTAAGATCAGAAAAAAGCAGAAAACAAAACGGGAAAAGAGGGATCGAACTAACCCTTGTCAGTTACCACCATCCCTTTTCACCACTACACCACACTCGCTGTTCCTCACTGCTTCCACAATTTGTATAAGAAAGGGGGAGATCGCGCTCACGCTTTTAATGCTTTAACAGAGGTGAAATTTCAAACGCGTTTTTTCAGCTTCTAGGTACCGAGGGGCACGAAAAAAAGTCGTCTCGTTATTGACCATGCCCTAAAGTATATGTGTACCAATTTTCAAGAAATTCTCAACCACTGTCTGAAAACACTTCCCTTGTCAGAAATAATTTAAAAGGATTCATATCGCTAAACAATGTTGAGATTTAGCCGATCGCCAGATTCCAGATTCCAGATTAAAGATTCCAGATTCCAGATTCCAGATTCCAGATTCCAGAAAAAGAAAAAAATATCACTAGCCAAGGGTTGAACCTAAAACCTGTGCTTAATAGCCAACAGTGTATACCACTAGGACACCCATGCACTTTTGGAAAACAAGGAGAGAATGCTATTAAAGCATGGGGCACGCGGGAAAAATTCAAAAGATTCAAATTGTTTTAGGAAATTTAGCAGAAAAAAATTCACGTTTTGGAAAAAAAAAACGTTTTGTTTAAAGTGAAAAAATGGAGCAAAAAGATAAGAATCGCCCAGGATTTTTTGCATATAAGGAAAAAGAGAAACAGTGAGAATCAGTCAGTTCCCGAAAGGGAACTGATATTCAGCTGGAGCTGATATTCAGCTGAAGTCCCGGAAATGGAACTGGAGCCATTGGATTTGGAGGTTATGATCAGGGAATCGGAGCAGTTGGAACAAGAGCTCTTGAGGCCGGACTTGATGGAGTTGGAATCGGAGCTAGTGGAGGTGGAATCGGAGCTGATGGAGTTGTAATCGGAGCTGATGGAAGCGGAATCGGAGCTGATGGAGGTTGAATCGGAGCTGATGGAAGCGGAATCGGAGCTGATGGAGTTGGAATCGAACTTGATGAAGTTGGAATCGAACTTGATGGAGTTGGAATCGGATCTGATGGAGTTGGAATCGGCGCTGGTGGAGTTGGATTCGTAGCTAGTGGAGGTTGAATCGGAGCTGGTGGGGTTGGAATCGGAGCTGGAGGTCCAGTCTCGAATCTTGAAGTGAGGACTGGTAAATCATATGTTGGCCGATCGGCGTTTTCGAGATCTCGAGTTTTCGAGTTTTCGAGATCTCAATGTTATCAAGCAATGTATACGACCGCCCACCGATTCGGGGGTACAAGGGGGTACAACTGATTTAGGGGTACAAAATCCATGATTTACAAAAAATGGGGGTACAAAATTTTTCAGCAAGTTGTATTTTTGCACTTCTGAATCGAAATTTTGTCTCTAAATGGTTTGCAGCTTCGTTTAGATAAACAATTTCAACTCAACGGTACGAAAAATAAAAATCATTAAAGAAAAATAGGGCATCAATTAACTATTGGAGGATTCCGACCAATTTTTTTCACTGCATTGAAATGTCTGAAAAGTTATGTATTTTCCTAATACTATTACGAACAGTTTTTTTTGAATCCAGATTCCCGAAACACAGCCACTTAAAGAAGGATGTCCTTAGCCGTGGCCTAGGTTTCTTATTGAGCGGGAATTCAAATCCTCGTCAATATTAGCCACCTTTCTTAGCAACATTTTAACTTCCGTTTTTTCCATTGTCGGGGATTTGGGATGAAAAGAACAATTTGAAGTAACATTAGAAAAATACATAACTTTGGAAACATTTTAATGCAATGAAAATTTTGGACGGAGAGCCCCTTCAACTTGTGCACTATGAAATCCTAAAAAACAGACATTGAACAGATAAATAATTATAATTAAATCTATAGGTAATATCATTAACGAATATTCTGAAAAACGGCCATTTTCCTTTAGAAACATAACTCAGAGAACATCGACAACGTCACGGCAGAATTCCTCTCCCTCTCGGGTTGATTTGTTCCCATTCTCTGAAAAACACTTGAAATTTGAAAACGCAGAACCAAAAATGAGAAACTAACAATTCTGCGAAGACTTGTATTTACCGCTTTCTCCTCTCTATGCTACTTCTATTTTTTTTAATCTTTTGGTTCCGATTATCAATTTTAGTTATCATTTTTTTTAAATAAAAGTGATCAAAAAATAGAAGAACACCTGTTATTAAGATCCACTAAAAAAATGACAACGAAGTGATTTTTGAAGGGACACACAGACTGAAAACAATTGATTGCTCACTGAGAGATTATCGAAAAACAGCAGCTGTTGGAAAAATACATCTTTCACATTTTTACTCCACCTATTTATCAAATTCCAATGATTGTTTTATTGATGAACGTACTTTAAGATAATCGTTGGTATAGATTGGGATTCAGAGAAGATTTGGGATTCAATTTATCTTTTGTCTCCGTGTTTTTTTTCAGTGTTCCGTTTCTAGTTTCCGTTTTGTTACTTGTGTTTTCATAGAAATTCTGACTGAAAAAATGGATGAAAAAAGAAAGGAAAAAAAGAAAGAAAGGATTTCTGAGATCACCACTGAACTCTGATCGTGCTTTTTCGTAAAAAAAACAACACAAAAATGGATATATACTTTTTTTAAAGTCTCCAGAAGCAACGATTTTCAGATGCAAGCTTGGGAGCAAAGCAACAGAAATCTCTTGGTCCACAGAACTTTTTCAAAATTCAAAGCCAAATTTTCACACGATTTTAGACGACACTATTCTAATAAACTATAGTTTCATCTTATCTCATTTCCTTCATTTAATTATCTTCCAATTGTTATCCTTAATTTTCAGATCCACCCATTTTTTTCCAGCTGACCATTGACCATCTCTTGGGGGGTTCCGGCCCTCGCTAATTATAAAATGTAAATATAGCTTTATTCATGAAAAAGTAATTGAATTTATTTTTCTCTTCTTCTCATCATAATCATATTTTCCTCTATTGGTCAACTCAAAATATGGTTCCGTTTTTTTTTCGTCCCAACTCTCACCAGTGTAAACTGATGAATGATTCAGATGAAGAAGACGTGACTCTATTGTAATTAAAATGAATAAGCGTTTCTATTTTGGACACAAGGGGCCTCAATGAAACACTTCCGAAATACACTGATAAAATCTCACATATTTCTTAAACTTTCAAAGTTCTTTCTGCATTATTTAATCGTTGTTTCATCCCCACCCTCTTGCCCATCCATTTGTTTCTTTTTCTGAATCGACAATTTTTTTTGAAAAGAAAGTAATCTCAAACATCATAAAAATGGGGACGAATTCTTCTTCTTATTCTTCAAAATGCTCTCTTTTTGCCACCTCTATGCAACAGAGCAGAAGATAATTGGAAAATGGCCGGGGGACCCGTGGCTATCGAAATGTATATGAGCGCGTGGTTTGAGTAGGGAAAAAGAAGGAGACATAGAGCCTCTTGTTGCGTGATATGTAGGTCAGTTACCGAGTAAGAAGAGTCTCTTTTTTCTCCCGTTGTTGTTATTATTCCCCTTTTTCATTGAACCCTTATATCCCAGTAGAACAAAATTTGTCAATACTGAAATTCAGAAAAGAAACCACTGGAAAGTGGTGTTACTCTGATTGTCTAGAAAGTTGGTCGTCTCGAATTTCCCATCGACTCGTCGAAGCTTCCTTATGTCTTATTCATAGTTCCGTTTTTTTCTGAGAGCATTTCCGTTTTAGGGTAATCATCGATGACTGAAGTAGAGACCAATATGAGTCATGTAGAAGAACCGAGTTTTCGAAGACACTTCACCCAAAGTACCGTATATGTTCTGATTTATCAGGTTTATTAAAATATCGTAAAACATGTATTAGAATGACGTTAATAGAAGGTCCCTCTTTAATAGAAGGGCTATCCAAAAGTATTCGGGAATTGCACAATCCTACAAAACTTTGTTGAAACTATCTTTTCGCTAAATGGCCCGAAGTATAAAAGGGCCCTCCGGAGGTGCCTTGGAACAATAGAAGGGTCGGACTTTCTAAGACAGGTTTCACGGTAAATGGAAAGTTTTAAGGTTGATCGACTTTTGATGTTTGAAACTTTGGCTAATTTTGGTGATCAGGAAAAAATCATTGAAATTTTTTTTAAATTGAAAATATTGTGGAAATGATATTTCCTTGTTGTTATAAACTTGAAAAAGAACCAATACTTTGCGTCTGACTGATCAACGTCATCAGACTGTTTTTAGAAAGTGTGGTACCGATGTTAGTTAAAGAAAAACATCATGTTCTAGACACTCTCTAGAACTCTTCGATCCAAAATTATAATCATGAGCAACATAGAATTTCAATGTTCGATTGGACTCCCAATTTATCCTCCTCTTGTTAAATTCCAACTTTTTCCTCTCGCCGGTTAATTTGTATTTCATTCATCTCTCCTCTCTCCAGACACTTTGATGATGTCACTGGAGGTCATTCAGAAGTGGTCAGTATGCTTCACAGAACAATTAGTTTAAAATACGGGGAGCCGCAGCAGCCAAAACTCTTTTTTTCCCCTCCTGAATAGAAACTCAAAACTACAGTACTTATTTTTTGGTTTCATCTTTCCTAATTTTCTCAAAATATCCAAGCCTTCTATTCCGATTTTCAATTAGTTTCTCCATTTTTCCATTTGCATTTCCAGGTAATCTCTTGCTCCCAAGAGCCAACCACCCAAACAAAATTGAATTCGGAGATGATTCACGTGCTTTTTTTCTGATCAAATAAGGCTTCCTACAATCAAAAATGCACTATCACCGCTGTCACTCTCTTTTCTTTGAATCTTCTGACTCTGTGTACTACGCCTGAATTCAAATCCGATTATTTCTCGTCTAGTATTCTGTATTCGGATGCCTTCTGGAGCTTCTAAAACGACGGAGCAACATCATCCGAACGTTTTGTTCCAATTCGTTTTCTTCTTTCCTCTCTTCTAGTTATCCTACGTCCCGTTTTTCTCTTTTTGCATATTGTTCTACACGACTAATTATGTCTTTTTTTCTCAAAACCAAGAGTGGGAAAGAGTAGAAAAAAGTTGAGAAGTTTGACTTTTTCCAATTATTTTAACCCATTGTATTGCTCATTTTCCGTAGCCTTTATAGAATTTTAGCCTATCGAATCTAGACAAAAAATGCTCTCGGAGCTCTCAGATGACGTTGAAATAAACTAGAATAAAATGGCTTCCGAGCTGTGTGTTATTAAAATTTTCAGTTCTTTAAAAGAAAAACACTTGTCACCTTGAAGTTAAATTTTTAAAATTTGTAGCTTGACTAGTCATAAGCCTTTTGAAATATATTATAATCTGGAGTTGATAATCTGGAGTTGAAATTTAATTTCCCGTCGATTTCGACTTTCCGGTAGCAGGTCAAACTTTGAAAAAATTGTCATTTCTCTTCTCTTTTTGTTCCTCATTTTTTTCTCTTGATTTCTTTTACCCTGTTAAAAAAGTTCATTGCAATCAGATTTTTTACTGGTAGGAGTCATACTTCCATTAACCCATTCAACAATTTTTGCTGGAAATTTCAAGTTTTCAAGAAATTTTCAAACTTCGAACTTCACTGTTTTTTTCTGGAATTCCAAGATTATTCTCAACTGGAAATCTACTGAATTTTTCCAATATTTCTGGGGTTTTCGGATGTGCTTTTGAAATTCCTATTTTCATAATTTTCAGGATATTTTGGATTATCTAATTTTTCTTTTTTTTCAAACTTTGACAAAAAATTTCACCTTTTTTTTGAAAAATTTCAAAAATTAAATAAAGATGAATTTAGCTAAAAAAACATTTTCAAGATTTCGAAATCAATCTTCTAAATTTAGATCGTTCGTTGTTAATGAAAACTATTTATGTGATCATGTTTCTTTTCCCTTTTTTCTAACGATCTGTCCCATTCGAAAAATGGCATCTAATGTTCCAGATCTCCAAAAAATGAAACTTGATGAAGCAGTAAAAGTGGCATCCCAACTACAACGGAATGAATCTGTTACGTCGTCAAGTGCAGGGGACGTCAATGAGATTCCAAAAACAAATGGTGGACCATCCCATCCAATCGTTCGAAGAAAAAGCGGATTGATTGGCAAGAAGTATCCATCGTTACAGGTATATTTTGATTTTTTTTTGTTTGAATTCTTCAAGCTTCTTATATTAACATATAATCATACTCGTCAAATTCCGGGCCGGGCCGGGTCAAGGGCCTAGAAAAGTTATTACGGCCCAGCAATTTCCTGAGATGTTTCGCCTTTACAAAAATATCGAAACTGAAATTTTGCGAATTTTTCATTTTGACCCCAATGTTCCAGGTCCGGTCCCTGACCAGTATGCATCTAACCCTTTATTTTTAGGCTTTATGTATATTTTGACATGAAAAAATTGTTTTTTTTGGAATTCATTAGACCATATCGTGCTCAGTGTTTTTTATGCAAAATGACAACTTGACATGTTATTTTTAATCAGCGAACGCCTTGTTTTATTTTTCCATTCAGATCTGAATTTCGATCAAATCGGAAGAAAATTTTACCAGAAGTTTTTGTTTTCTAGAACAAAATATAGTACTGTTAAAAACAGAAATCTGAAGCCGGGAGTTTTTTCTCAAATTCAGAATAATGTAGTCATTCGAATTGACCCAAAGATCCTATCCCTTTTTTCTCACTAATTGGACCTTTGGTCTCTGCTTCTTTCCTCCTCTCTTCTTTTCTCCAATCAGTTTTCATTCTCATTTCCTTTAGACTTCTTTCTGTTTTTCACTTTTTCAAATTCCAATTAATTCATATTTTTCTTTTTTTTTAGGTATCCCATTATCCGGTCCTTCTTCTTTCCAACTCATCAGACACTACATCGAATCCCCACCCAAGTGTTACCTGGAGAACAAGGTAAGTCTAATTAAAGGGACTATCTTTGAGTTTGAAATAATATGTCATCTATCATTCTAAATCCTTCATTGTTTCAGCCAACAAGCCGATAGTGAACCCAAGATATCCGATCTGGACGAGGCGCCGCCTAAAATCAGGAAATCGAGCAGTGGGTTACGGCAGGTCAGTTGTTTTGTTCAGGTTGGAAGAAGATTTATTAGAGATGGATTCCAATGTGTTTGTTGCATTCGTTCAATTGACTTCCGAACACAGAAAATTATCAGAATTCGAAAGTCAAGTTATTTCCATACCGGAAAAATCAGATTCTTATTTGACAGAAATTTTTCGTTTCGATTGACTCGAAAATGTTTTTGAGAAAACATAACAAAATCCTGAAATCCCGGGTCCGGCTCGTTGCAAGTCAAGTTATTTCCTATCATACATTTCTTCTTCTCTTTTTATCCGGTAGATACATTTTGTTGTGGGAATAAAGATCTTTGAATTCTAGTCTGGTTCCCACGAATCAAGAAAGTTTGGAAGTTTAGTTTCAAAGTTGTACTTCAGTGTTTCGGTCTCTGAGTTTTAATTTGTTACTTTCCAGAAAAATCAATTCAAGTTGACGGTCTATTTGTCCCACACTCCATCGAGATAGTTATTTTTCAGTGTTCTGTATCCGCCCGCAACTCTCTTGACTTCCGAGATCGTCCAAGATTCAGTCGAACTTCAACAACGACATCCACATTGTCGCCGACTTCCGAAAAACCTCCGATGCCTATCGGTGAGTTTTTTTGTTTCAAACCCAGACTATCTCTTTTCCAAAAGACCACTAATCTTTGATGTTAGCTCAAAACAAATTCATCGATGAACAAAAAAATGACAGACGAAAGATAAATGTGGTGAGAAAAAAGGTATTTTTTGTTGTGTATATATCTCAATGTGTCAAAAAGAATATGAAGATGATTCGGTGCCCGTGGGGGTTGAGTTCGTTGATTGAAAATGATTGACAAGGAAACACACGTGAGAGAAAAATGAAAAGGGAATCAGGTGGAAAGCAAAAGAAAAGAAGCACAGAGCAAAAAAGAAAGAAACATGGGAATAATGGGCATGATTATCAAAAAAATCTCTGTCGTTTTTTTAAGTAAAAACAAAAAGAATTACCGTATTTCCTCTAATTAGAGCCCACCCAACCCTTCAACTTTGAAATCAATTATCTCAATTTTTATGAAAGATTTCAAAAATAAGTCAATTGATGAATTATTAATCAGAACATCACTAATATTTTATCAGTTGACAAAATTATGACATCTTTCACAAGAATCGAGATAATTGGGCTCAAAGTTGACGGTGTGGGTAAGCTTCTATTAGGTAGGCGAAACTACCGTAAAACCTGTATTAAAAGGGCCGGCCCTTTTTTTTGTTCCAAAGTACTTCCGGAGGGCCCTTCTGTTACTAGGGCCCTTCTATTTTTCCAGCTATTGTTCCTCAAGTTTTTCATAGAAAAATTCGACGAATTTGCGTTCAAAATTTATGAAAATATATTGATTTCACCAAAATTGAGCCATTTTTGAGCTACAAAGAAGTGTTTCAACCAATTTCTGAGAAATTTTTGGAATTTTTGAAATATTTTTACTGATAACGTACAGAAATTTTCAATTTTAAACAATCCATTTTGAAGAGGGACCTTCTCTATTACAGGGGGCCCTTCCATTTTCCCAAAACTCTCCTGGAAGACCCTTATATTAGAGGGGCCCTTCTATTAAAGGGACCCTTCTACAACAGTTTTTACGGAAAATTAAATTCCGTGTAACTTTTATCCGACAACATTGAAAAATATTCATAATCCCATGTGCCAAACAGCGAACGGAAATTGTTTCTATCTCAAATATACTTCTCAATTTCCTGTCATCCGTTGTCTAGTATTCATTCAAAATGTTGTTTTCCCGCGACTCTCACGACCTAACAAAACACACTCTCTCATAGACTTTTAATCATTTATCATCTTTGCTCATACAATTTCCATGAGAAAATTCCATGAGAACATTCCAGATTTGTGTCATCAAATATGTTGTAGTCCTCAATCCCCGTCACTTCTTCTATATCTCTCTCATTTTTCCTTCTGTTCTTACTCTGTTATCAGACAACGTGAAAACTTTTTTGAGCTACCCGGATTGACCCAATATCTCTTATCAATAAAGAGGAGAAGAGATGGCCGCAACATTTTCTCATTTATTTTTGTTCTTCCCAGTCATTTTGCCTCATGTCTCTCTTGTCCCACTGGGTAATGATAAATTGAGAATCTCTGATCTTCAGGATTCTTTTTCCTATTTTTTTTTAAATTTTCACTTTTGTTTTTTTCATTGAAACTAATAGTACTCGTTAACTTCTGTTTACAAAAATATGCCAATGCCATTATTAGGGTCATATGCTTTCTGAAGAACGAAAGATATTATTTTTGGTACAAAAAAAATTGGAGCTGTGGAAGGGAACCACCGGTGGCCGTGGCCGAAGGTTCCACAACGATAAATACCGTAACCTAAACATTTTTTTATTTTATCAGAAAACTCGACGATTAAATAACGAGAAAATAAATCCTGAAAATAAACATAGTTTAGGTTACGGTAGTTGTCGTGATGGGACCAGAGATGTCCGGATTCCGGATTCCGTTTTCCGGATTCCGGATTCCGTTTTCCGGATTCCGGATTCCGTTTTCCGGATTCCGGATTCCGTATTCCGGATTCCGCAAAATTTTAGCTCGTCCGGATTCCGGATTCCGAGAAAATTTTTTATTCCGGATTTTAAGAATATTTGTTAATTTGCAAGAGTTCTCTGACTTTTTGAAATTCCGCGACAAAAAATGCAAAAATACAGCACGATATGTGTTTTCAGAATTTTTTTGTCCATTTGAAGAATACAAAATTCCGGATTCCGTTTTCAGGATTCCGAAAAATTAGTTTCATTCCGTATTCCGGATTCCGGTTTCCGGAAAATTTTTATCTGTCTGGATTCCGGATTCCGAGAAAATTATTTTATTCCGGATTCCGTTTCTCAAAAAAGTCATTCCGCACACCTCTATATGGGATCTTCAGCCACGGCCAAATGCGGTTCTCTTCCACATCTCCGATTCTCGTACCAGAGTAAAAATAACTGTTGAAAACATGTAAATCTTTCTATTAAATTCAAATATCCGAGATCGCAGTCAATTCTTTGACCCGTTGTCACAAACTTTAAGCTCTGATTTTTGACGCTTTTCGGATAAATAGTACATACAGAATCGTCGTATGTACTTCTTTTCTTAGACTAGACATTTCAGAAAATAGAAGAAGAAGAAGAAAACAAGAATGATGATGATGTTTGCCTACGAATAAATCTGATTTTTTCTTTCTTCTTTCTCTTCTCTTTTTTCGCTCATCGTTGTCCTAATAAACTCAATTCTATCTCTTGATCCACAGGCCTACACTACTTTTTCGTCCTTTTTCCTTTTTCGTTTGTTTTGAATTTCCCGAACTGTTCCCTTTTTCAGTTTTCTGATCCACTCCAATGGTCTACAAAGCCAGAAGTGTCACAAAAACCTGGTATTGGTGGAGATTCTTTAAAAACAAAAATACGAAAGCCACCCTCAGTTATTAAATGGAAGTTTCAAAGATCTCTTAGTCTTATAGTCAATCTTGTAATTTTTCATAATTTCACTAATTTTCAATACTTTGCTAGTCTAATACATATAATACAAGTTTATGAGAAAAGTTATAAAAAGTACTGCTAGACCTCCGGTTCATTTAATTTTCATCTCATTTTTCCCTTCTTTTTTGTTTCATGACCCATATTAATTAAAAGATCAGGCATCATCTTTCTGCCACGTCATCATCCTTCTTTTACTTTTTTCTTGCAATTCTTGCAACTCTTGTCTCCTGAAAATTCCTTATTCCGTCGTCAGTTTAGAATCGGATTTGAAACGACGCGGAAAAAAAGAACCGAATTCCTGGATTTAAATCGTTTTTTGTCCTTTTACTATTCTTTGCTTTTTCTCCAGTCTCCTGCTTCTTCTTCTTTATTTCCAACGCCTTCAGACTTGTCCAAAAATTAATCACATCATCCTTCGAATTATTTCTCACGCCTTCTATTCCTGTTAGATTCTTCGAAGTTCACGTATTCAGTTTTCGTTCTACTTCTGATTCTTCAGCTTTTCAAAATTGTGCAATTACTGGAAGTCCCGCAGGCACGGAATCACCGTGCCAACAGCATTGACTGTGTCGATTTACGGCATCTCAGAAATGGTAAGAATCGTTATTTTCCTCCTTTTTTGGAGAAATGGGTGTGTTCCGTTGGAGAGGAAGTAGAAACATCGTTTTCTTATTTATGAGATGACCTGTTGTTTCTGTTTTCAGAGTCATGGGCTGAAAATAAGCTGGAATAAGAAGATAGAAAACTAGAAATGTATGAAAGTTTCTGAAAATATCACTGAAGGGCATACAGAGAAGATCTGGGCATTTCAGTTTTCGTTTCGAGGGTTTTGTTTTCCGGAGAGGGCGAACAACATTCTATGAAAACGTTTATCCGAAAGTGTATTTATTTCCTATCAACGAAAGTTTCCAAATTCAAAATTTCAGTTTTAGATCACTGGCCATTACACCTATCGCATATTCCGTTCAGGCTCTGATAGAAGGCCATTTTATAATTGTACGTTGAGCTCAATTATCTCAACTTCTATAAGAGATACCCAAAATGTGTCAACAAATAAAATTTTGGTGATATTATGACAAACATTTTAGCTGTTGATAGATTTTTGTTATCTTTTATGGAAATCAAGATAGGTGAGCTCAAAGTGCAAGCATAGGGTGGCCTTCAATTAGAATATTTCCGGTATCTTTGTAACTTTATCTTCCCCAAAACGAAAAAATCTTCTAAACTAGTTCTCAAAAGAAAAAGTAAATCCTAGTCAGCAAAAAGTAAATTAATCTTTGATCTCGTTGTTTCCTTACCCCCGATTAGATCTTATTTTAGCTTAGAACACATCAACAGATTTGAACTGCTTCGTTCCAGCTCAATGTTTACTTTATTTCACAATTTTATTTTTCTTATGCACGTTGTTCGGTTTTGTAAACGTCTTCTTTTCCCAAAACTTCAGAATACAAGAATCGTGGCTAGACAGAACCACTTCTGTCCACTAGAGACTTTTTGTACTCTGTCTGTTTTTTTAGGTTTCATAATACAAATGTCTTCTGGACCACGTCATGTGGAACATTAGATTCCAATCTATAATCACAAAATGAAAAAAAAAACGAAGAAGCCATTTTTCAGTCACTACTACTATTTATTAAAAAATACATTTTTAGTCATAGAGTATATCCAAAAAATTAGCTTGTGAGGAGGGGCTTATCAAAAAAAATGAACTGGAAATCCAAGACTGAAATCCTATTTCCGACCTGATTCTCACATTTTTCCTAACTGAATTTTCGTTCATGTTCTGAGTTATATCTTCTTGCAACAAGTCGATTCTTTCTCGTAAAACTGGAATTCAATTGTTCTTCCCACTCTTTCCGTTTTGATTTTTTTTTCAATTTGAGTATTGAATCTTCTTCTAGATTCTCGATATTGAATGTCTATGCAAATCTACGTCACTCCAAGTTCAGGTACTTGTTTTTAAAAATTGGATGAAAGTTCCAATGGTGACAGTAACGGACGTCTAGCTTATTACCAGCAGATTACTATCATACAATTATTTTTAGGTTACTATAGTTGACGTTGTGGAGCCTTCGATCACGATCACCGGCGTTTCTCTTCCACAGCTCCGATTTTTGTACCAGAATAAAACATACAGTACCGGGCAGAATATTTTGACTTGTTTGGCCGAAAACTTTGACATCCTGAAAAACGATTCCCACTTTTTTCTCAATTTGTCTGAAATTTTCAGATTATTGTAAGCAAAATTGTTCCAGTTTTTTAGTTGACAACTTTGTTGTAAAAATCCAACAAAATGAGATGAGCGATTTTGAAGTGTCACAACTCTCCTTTCAAAGCATATCATCAGAATGGAATTTGGCAGAAAAATGGTGCATTTCAAAAATGAGCCTCTTTTTATGAAATATTGTAATTTTAACACTTCGTATCAGTAGACAATTTATGCAATACTTTTTTAGAAATCAAAATTGATAAAATTAAAAAAAATGAAATCGTTTTTCCGCTACTGTACACATTCAGAACGATACTTTATATCCACTTCCACCAAAAACTACCTAACAACTCGCGTTGGTTCCAGGATTTTCCCTTTCGTTCTAGAAATTTCGAATCCAAAGGTGGCCAACCAATTTCTAATATCCGGGGGGAAAGGGACACAAAAGAGGCACAGGGGGGACATTGACACCCTATAATTATTATTGACAGACGAGGGGAGCACCTCTTCGTCTCTTTTTCTTTTTGCCCCAAAATGATTCGATTGCAGGCCAGTCATGCTCTTCGTCCGGTCGACTACACGCATCTCCAAAGATCTCATTCAGTTCCGTCGTTCAGCAGACAATGAAGTGGAACAATCTGGGTGGTATGTTTTTTTTTTTCAGAAGGGGGTAGTTTTGAAAGAGACAAAGCAAGGTCTTTTGAAAGGAGAAACTATATTGGAACTCTTCACGAAATCCGGAAAAAACTATAATTCAGGATTTATTTTGGCCGAATAATAGAAAAATTCAAACTTGTGAAAGCACACCACTTTTCGTTCCGAAGCACACATTTTCACAACTTGACCTAAATTTAACCGGAACCTTTTTTCATGCTTTTATGTACTTTTGTCTTTTCGTTCGAATAAAAAGCCGACACTCAAAAAAAGTGTCGCTTTCTGGGATACTTTTATAGCACTCGTAAACCAGTGCTTTTGGTGAGGTTGACTAGATTTCCGTGTCTATTTTCTCCATCTTCTGCTCTTTTCTTTTGAAATTATGTCAACGTCATCTTTAAATGGTAAGTGGTAGGCTCATTAAAGGAGACCAGACACCAAAAAAAAGTTCTCCTGATATTTTGCATAGAGAACCCCCATTAGGGGTACAGCGCCGCTACCGGCTGAGCTACGGGGGCGCGAAGGCGTCTGACGACCGATGGTCTACATAAGCGCGGCACGATTTCGTCCCCCGAACTGTCCCCCGAAATTTTTGCTGTCTCGCCTCCTTTAAGTTGCTTTTATTGAATGTGTGCTTTCGAATCTTTGTGAGGATGGTCTATGACATCAGAACATCTTGTTGGAAGTTATATTTAAACTGAATCCGTTTTTCGGTCTTTTGGGCCATGGGATTTTTCGGAAAGTTTATTGGAGCATAATCCAATTTGTGTCATGTTCTTGGGTTAAAGTGCAAAATTCATTCTAAAACTTCAGTTTCCCAATCTCCTCTATTACGGTAGATCAGATTTTTCCAGAAATATTGTATTCAGAAAAGGTCGGTTTTGTGATTTGGAGTTACTTTTTAAAATTATTTTTGTGGAAATCCTGTTTGATTCATCTAAAACCGTGCTCTTGTGACATTATTGTGCTCTTGTGACATTCCTCGCCGTGACATTCCTTATTGTGCTCTTGTGACATTCCTCGCCATCTAGTAAGATATTGATAGCTCTACTCGAACAGTTCAGCTAACATCATCACAGTTCTGCGTATGTGCTTTTATAAAAAATCTGAGCTGTGGAAGAGAAAAGCTTGTGGGCGTGGGCGAACAACGACAACTACAGTAACCTAAAATTTTGGGACCTTTTTTTCTCGATTAGTATTGCTATTCGACAGTTTTTGTGTTGAAAACTTCCAGACAAGTCGGAAAATGAAACTGTTCTCGAATCTAAAAAATTGCCGGAAAACTGGCAAAAATCGAGAGAACCAAACTTTCTCTTCCACATAAATTTTGAATGAATTTACAAAATTCTTCAATATTTCTTCAGACTCCGAAGTTTTTGTAATTTTCTCTAAATCTTTGAATCATTTTGTTTTTCACGAACTCTTTCTTTCTGCGGAACTTCCTGTGAATGCCAGCTGATCTTCTTTTCTGGTCCCGGGAAAAACGGAGATCTTCTAGACACAAAAAAAATTTGTTGGCATTCGTAATTAATGAACACCAAAAGTGCTTGATTCTCTTTTCTAGATCCTGTATCCGTTCACTTTGCGTGATGTGAATAATTCGACGATGGCGATGCTTTCTGTGTAACTCCTCTTGTCTATCTTCTATTTTTTTCTTTTTTTGTCATCTGTTTTCTTCTGCTGCTCATCGTTCCTTCTCGATTCTCGCAAGGACGAAACAACTCTAGAAATCTCTCGGCACGTTTTCGCAAGCTGAAAATTAATTCACCGCCCGAAAAATGTCTCATTAGAATTCGTTTTTCATTCGACACACACAAAGGTGCTTGTTGTTGTCTTTCGGTTTACTGCAATTCCTATTCTTCTTATTCTTCTCCCGTTATTTCTCCCAAATATGGGTTCAAGGCATCGACTTGATCATTCCGATGCATTCGATCAGCATTCGGATTCAACTACTCCAAAGATTCTTCTATTATCACCCGAACAGTTAATGTTTGATTATACGAATGGAATATTTTTGAGTGGAATGTTTGATAAAGGTAATCCGTATTTTCAAAAAAAAAAACCTTTATCCACAATCTAAAATTGGAAAGCTAGGATGTTTCCGAGCTTTGATCTGCATTGCACAGATTACGTTATTTGAATTCGTTTATACTGTCATACCGTTCTTACTTCAATTGAAGTCTGCCGAAACCATCGACTTTAAGCTCAATTATCTCGATTCCTGCGAGAGGTATCAAAGTTTTGTGAACTGATTAAAAATTGGTGATATCATGATAAATGATTTCTCAGTTGACACATTTTTAAAAATCTTTCCCAGGATTCGACATAATCAAGCTCAAAATTGACGGTTTGGGTGACGCTCTATCAGAGGAAATACGGTATACATCAATTCGTATACATATTGTGTATGTTATTCCTACTTATAAAAGATATCGTTATCTAGATTAGGATATCCCTTTGGGACATCCTGAATACAGAACTTATTTCGATACCTATTGTTTTCCACATTCTCCAGAAACTAGAAGAAAAAACGTGCGAAACAACTGGGATTATTTACCTCCAATACTGTTTTCCGTACTTGGGAATTCCAGGAACAAATGCTTAAAGTCCTTGAACTCGAACATGCTCAAACACCATTTGAAGCAAAGCAATAAAGACCAAATGGAGTTCGTCAATTCCGTTCTCTTCTCTTTTCAAATTCTTCTCATCTATTTGCTTGCTATTTTCTCTAAAAATACTGAAATTACTCTGAAAAGCGAACAAAACGAAAAAAGAAGTTGAGTAGTGGGGGTGGGGGGACCTTTTTCCTTTTCACAACCATTTTTTTCTATTGAATTGACTATTTTTTTAGGAATGGGAAGTGGTCGTTGCCTCAGTTCAGCATCCCCAATATCAGCAGCCGAACGACAACAATTGTGGGGTGAGTTCCTGATTTTGTTCTCTTTTTTCTTCTTCCCTATCTGTTTGCTTTTTTCAATTTTTGGAAGATTTCTGGAGTGTCTTCTTTCTTCTGTTATTTCTTATTTCTCCTCTCTTTTAGTCTCTATTTCAAAAATCTGGAAAAAGAAACCAGAAGAGGCTCTTCAATTAGGATGATGCTTTTTGCTTCTCCCTTAGGGGATTCTGAATTTGGGCGGGGGATAAAAAAAGAGCAGCAAGAAACGGGAGGAAATTTCTATTCTGGAGTCACACGAAGACATCATCCAGATCATAGTAAAAAAGGAGAAGAAAAGCAAAAAAAGAAGAAGAAGTCTCTAAAATTGAATAATACAATTGAAGGCCATCGGACCGGGCGGAGAGGACGCACCGGACACATTTATATATGTATATTCCATCTACCTGTTTTTTGTTTCTTTCTTTTCTTCATTTTTTTAAACGTACATATTTTTTCTCTTCTTCTTCTTTTTTCATTTTCTTGATCCCTTAGAATCGCTAAAAAAGACAGCTCTAAAGTGAGAAAGAAGGTCATCTGAAATTCAGAATTCCATCCCCTGAAATTCCGTTCCGTTTGACTGCGTGATTCAGAGTAGCATTCGATTTCTTCTATTTCTCAGATGGAAGAACCATTTTTTGTCACTTTTTTTTTCTTCATTTTTCCATTTCCACTTCTCAGTAACTCCCAGATAACAGGAGGCAAGCAACCATATTCTATACTGAAACTGGACTGAACCAATTAGTTGTCCACCACAGTTTTTGGCCCGTAGCTGAAAAAAACTAGTAATTTCCCATAATTCTGAGAATGCAAAATGTTTAATTTAGGTCTGTTTTACACCCCCGAAAATTTCAAAGTAATCTGAAACTTGACAGACGAGCTTCAGACTCCTAAAAATGGTCCAATGGCCGAAAATTGACTGAAAAATACGTTTTTGAATATCTTACTAACCGGTACTGTACTATTTTCCAACCGTTTTATCAAGCTCAAATAAATGAACATGAAAATGATCTTAAAAGGAATTTGAATAATTTTTAGAGAACAAAACATGAAAGACGATAGTTTACTGTAACTACACAGGTAAAATACGAATGGGTCCGTTACGGACGCTCCGCGTTCGCGCGCGGTTGAAATAGGAATCGCATACGGACCGCACGCGAACCGTTTTCAAAAAACCACAATACATTATTCCGATTATTCCGTATTCTGTGCGTTCGCGAGGTCCGTATCCGATCCGATGGCGAACGATAAAGAAACGGATCAGTTCGCGAACGAACTCAAAATTCAGATTCGCAAACTGATCCGTTTCTTCATAGCTTGCCATTGGATCCGATACAGAGCTCGCGAACGGACAGAATACGGAATAATCGGAATAATATAGTGTGGTTTTCTGAAAACGGTTCGCTTGCGGTCCGTATGCGGTTCCTATTTCAATCGCTAACGGATTGTTCGCAAATCACCTGTGCAAAGTCGAATACAGTAGCAAAAATCAAGATTTGTTGAATTCTTTTTTTTTTCGGCGAGTAGCATGAACGAGAACTCGCAGAAGTCTTTGAATGCTTCAGCAAATCTGAAATAAATTTAAAGTTTACAAGTCAATTTTAATGACTTAATATTTATTTAAAGAACATTTCCATTCAAAGCGGTGCTTTTTGAGTACAAGTTGCTTGATTATTCTCAAGTGCTCCAATATCGAGACAGAGAAACACTTAGAAATTTCGTAATATTATTTGAAAGAGAAAGGTTCGAAAAGTTATCTCTGGTTTAGTCTTCTCCTTTATTTTCAGTCCAAAAGTCACTTCAACCCACACCTTTTCCTCATTTTCATTGTTTCTTTTTTCACTTTTTTCCACTCATTTTCCATTCACTTCTTACTGAAGAAAAAGTCATTCTGAATGCGAGAATCGGGAAAGTCTAGGATTTGAAACCATTGAGAAAAAAGCGCAGGTGTTTCTCATTTGAATCCGTGTGATGTGTAGATCTGCAATCATTGTGTTCTACTGAAATTCTGCACCTCATTTCGACTGATGCTTTCTAATTCACTGTCACCATAATGGGCTCAATTGGAATTTGAAATTGGATTCACATTCTGTTTTTCCAATACTGAAGAATCCTTTTCTGCGTATTCTTTTCTCTTTCTTTTTTTTGGATCGAAATTCAAGATGAAATCCAGTTATACTGCTATTCTGATATGTGACAGTCAAGGTAAAGAAATTGATCAGAGAAACGCATTCTCTGCAAAAAAAACCTCCTGACATAATCCTCTTTTTCCAGCATCTTTAAAAGTTCATCCTGTTCAGAAATCATTTATGGCTTCCAATTCTTATCCCAAATCCCATCATGATAACTGATATATTTATTGTTCTGCTCATAAAACATAAAACATTCAGAATTTCTCCTAATGTATCCGTTATAAAAAGTCCTATAACATCAGTTTTTTCTATTGAACTCCAAAAATCAAGTTTCCTATAAAAAAAAAGAATAGGTGAAAAATAAAAAGGAAGAATTTTCTTGCAAACTTCTGAAGTAGGGCCATCTATTTCAAGAGTTGTAAAAAGAGGAGGAGGAAAAATAATCATGTGCAAACATTCATATCAGCTGCTCACGACTTTCCAGTTTCACTGTTTCTCATTTTTGGTTTTGCATTTTTTAGGGCTATCGGAGTTATTCAAATGTTATTTCGAAATTTCAGGATCTTCAATGCACCACTCCTTCGATGATCGTCCATCAGCATCCAGTGAAGATTTATTTGCCAGTTGTAATGATATCGATAATGCGGTAAGTGACTTTTTCAGCTTCGAATTAACGAACTATCAATAAACTTAATACCGTAAAACCTCTAATAGAACGACACCCGGATCGTTCACTTTGAGCCTATATATCTCATTTTCTGTGAAGGATATCAAAAAGTGGCTAGCTAGTAAAATGTTGCTGATATCCTGATAAACATTTTACTAGTTAACCACTTTTTGATATCTTTCAAAAGAAATGAGATATATAGGCTCAAAGTGGACGATCCGGGTGTCGTTCTATTAGAGGTTTCACGGTATTTGCTTCCAAGAAAATACCGTACAAACTGTATTAGAAGGGCCGGTCTTCTATATTTCCAAGGCACCTCCGGTGGGCTCTTCTATTAAAGGGGTCCTTCTAATACAGGCTTTACGGTAAATAAATTAGGCAATGTGAAAAAAACTAGGAATTTTTCAGATTGCTTTTTTCTATAATTGCACATACATGTTATTTACTCTTCTCAATTTTTCTATTGTTACCTACAGTGATGGGAGGAATTTCCGTTTCCGTTTTCCGATTCCCTGCTGGTATTTGAAGGTTTTGTTCCTTTTCCGTTTTCCGACCCTAGGCCCATTTTAGAAAACAACAACAATTTATGAACCTTGACCGAAATCCGAGCCGCTCTCAGACATTTTACATTTTCTCTCCTGAAACATAAAAAATGACATAAAACGTAAAATATGTACATGTTTGAACCACAACCAGGGCAACCATTCCGCCCAGAAACCAAATATGAATTCCAACTTTTTATTCAGAATTAACAAGTATTTCCCTCTCTTATGAAAAAGATGTACCTAGATGTACTCAACTTCCTATTATACTCATATCTCGTTTTTTCGAATCTTCATCTCATGTCACATGGCGAAAAACTCATTGAAACTCGTTGTTCGAAGCATTTGCCAATCACTTTTTCGTCAAAAACGACCCTCCTCGATTGTTGCTCTTTTTCTCTGACGACACAAAAAAGAAGAAAAAGATGTGACACCTTTTGAAATCTCTTTTTTATTTATTTTTAATGAAGGAACATTAACAAAATAAGAAAAAAATATGTTCGGATGTTTTGGCAACTTGATAATCTTTGATACTCCTCCTCTCCAAAATGATTTTTTTTCAAAAAAAAAAAAAGACTTTTAAGGTTTTTGATCGTCTCAGTTTTTGAGTGAGCTTTTTTTTGCTGAAGAAGGAGTTTAGTAACATATCTTGGAAAAATAACTAAAGCTTGTTTTCATGTTTCCTCAGTATAAAAAGTTGATGGGCCAGAAGATTTTGATACATTTATTAGTCTCAAATAATCCTTTTTCACCTTTAATAATATTCCCTTTTTAGATTAACCGAAGATAATGAATTATTTTCATAACATGTGTATAAAGCAATTTTCATTTGCTTAACTGACAAGTTTCATAATTTTTGAAGGATTAAATCGAGAAAAAAGATTTTTATGAGTTTCCATTGAATGAAAACGTTGTTTTGTAGGTAAAGCCTATTAAGAGGAAAGTAGACATTGTAAATTTAAAAAAAAAGAGCGTCGTGGTAGAAAATCTACTTCAAGTTGATAATTTTGTCAAATCTGATATCATTCACGATTCCATCCAATTCCAAAATCCATTGGTTACTCAAACTCACATAATAATTGTTCCACATTTTATACCTTTTTTCTCTTTTCTCTATATTTTTAAACTGAAGCAGTTATCCGTTGGTGGTTGTGTCCGGTAATTATACACTTTCCAGTCTATATTCCTCTACGTTTTTCTTTTTTTTTCTGCTCCATCTCGTCCTCTTTTTGAAAACATCTGCTTATAGTTCAACATTCTTTTGTTTTTAGGAACACAGAAAAAGTTCCAAAAAGTGACGAGATCCTTTTCTTTCTAAGTTTAGCTTCTTCTTTTTTGGGACACCATGAATAACTAAAAAGGGTTTTACTCTGTGTTTTCACAAGACATCATTCTGGTCCAAGTCAACATAAGATCAAAAAAATGATGTTATGAACTCCTTCTCTGAAATTCTTGGAAATAGAAAAACGAGGAAGAAATGCTGATAAATGGCACGCTATCTCAATCAGTACTGGATCGTGAGTGCGTCAAAAGATGAATACGGAACGATTTCTCCACCCACAACTCTCTTCAAGATTCCCAAACATCTGCAGGACACATTTTGAAAGTTTTATGAATGTGAGAGACATAGGTGTTGTGGTCCAGGATGTTCTCAGAAACATAGTTAAAATTTCACCTACATTTTGTCCGATTCAAACATTCCAATTGCTCCAAATTTTCTGAATTTCCTACAATTGAAAATCGTATAAATTTTTTATCCTAGAATATAGCATTCTGCAGTTTTGCAAGACGCTGTTCTTCATGCATTTGTAAGTCAGTCTGAAATATCATTATTTCAGCGAACTTTCGTCTTTTTTCTTTGGTTGCTAATGTTAGCTCTAGTAAATTGTCCGTATCCGGGTTACCGAATACAAGAAAACGGATCTTCGGAATGGCCTTTTCGGAATTTTCCAGAACGTTGAAAATTTCGGAATTTCGAAATATTCTAACTTCTTCAAATTTGAAATTTCCTAATCTCCAGATTTTTTGAACAATCAAGATTTCGAAAACGCGAAAAAATTACTAAAAGTAATTCCTGTCGAGACCCAAAAACGTTTTTCGTGTGCCTTTACTTTCAAAAAAGCTCCCATTCTCAAAAGAATGCTACGAAAGTATTCCGATTGTAATTTCATCCCGAAAATTATCAGAGTTATCGAAATTTCGAATTCCGTTTCAAACATCCCGGCCTAAAAAGTACATTCTTTGAAGCATCTTTACTTCCTGTTTCGTGAAATTCTGAAAATTAGAAATCGCAACAAACAATCTTTAATTGAATTTAAATCTCTTGAAATCGGGTCCGTTTCAAAATTCATTGAGTCAAATCAACCGAAATAGATCTCTATTTTTCGAATTCTTTTTTAAAATTATAACTACTTTAGTGTTCGTGAGGGATCCTTCTTAGAAAATTGATGCCATTTTTATAAAGCAAGCCCGGAACTCGAATTCTAATGAATTCCCAAAATTAGAGAAGACAGACGACCAAATCGAAAACAATAACTAGTATATCTACGTTCGTCTTCTTGTCATCCAATAAATCATTTTCTCTAGTTCCTGGGTGTCTGACGAACAAGCAAAAAACAAGAAACTGGAGTTCCTAATTTCATGATTCTTGAACCACATTCTAAACTGAAATTCGTTGAGCCAGAAAACGATTTGCAAAGTCAGAAGAGAGAATTTCTGAAGGAGGAAGCGTTCTTTAGAAAACAAAATCATTGTTGAAATTATTTTGAAAAAGGAAGGAGCAAAAGTGGTTTTTTTATATTTTGGACCAAATTTTTACTTTTATCTTCCTCTCTTCAACTCATTTTTTGTGTTTTCATCGCCATTAAATGTTCCATTTTTAGACAACGTTTGGATCATATCTCATTGTATTTCGAAGATTCAAGAATCAACTTTTCACTGTCCCAACTTGTTTAATGTCAACTTTGTTGCTTCTTCTTCTCTTTTGCAGTTTTTTTTGTGGCGGAAATAATTGAAGAATGAGGAGAAGAGGAGACCCACTTGGGATAGAAAGACGATGTCTCCCATTTGGTATTCATTGAACGAAGGACCCTACTACCACCCTCCTTCTCTTCTCACTTCATTTTATTTCCTTTTCAAATCCACATCATCATCATTGTGACGTGTCAACTCCGGATTCGTAATTGTTTTTGAGTCACTGACATTTTTTAATCAACAATTTTGGGGAATATTGAAATGGTCACGAGAGGATCTTACAGAATTATTCATTAGCTGAGGAACCTATTTTTAATTTGCAGAAGTCTTCCATATACATACAGTTGTAATTTATCTTGTTTACTTTGCTCATTTTGTTAGGTCTTAATAATAAAACCTGAAAAATGATATATTGGGCAAGTGCTCTTGAAATTCATATGGCATTCATATTTTCAAAATTTTATAGAACCGGAAACGTTTTCTACAAATTATTTTTCTTCAAAGTTACCAATTTTTAGCTAAGAATTGCCCTCATAATTTAATTTATAATTTATGGAATCTTTGTTTTGACCTAAACTTTCGAATGTTGTAGCTTGAGATTCAGCAAAACTACCGTAGTCGACTCCACCCACACAATATTACACCCACAATTTTTATTCGTTTTTTAGTTCATTTTTCCTTTTAAAAATCCAAAATCCGAGTACAAAATCCCCGATGTTCTTCTATATATTTCATTTGTTCTGCACCGCCTCTCTCTTCTTCGTCATTTTTTCTTCTTTTTTCCAGTAACCAAATTTTCTGTGTCCTCTTATCTTCTTTTTTTACTCAGTTCCTTCAAAGATTCCGTTCAAACATCAAGCATTTACTTTGTAGTGTGCGTTCTTTTTTTATTTTCGCTATTTTCCATATTCAACTTTAAGATACTGATATTCACTGGAATCGTTTCCCAACTCAATTAGAGAGAGAAGTACCTGGAAATTCGAATTTTTCGGTGGACAGAAAACTTTGAGATTCTTAAGGAAAGCAGAGGAAGAGGGTGGTTTTTATGGTCATTGAACGTTCTATTTCAATGGCTTTTGACTCGTTTCCAACAAAAAAAAGGAGTCGGAAGAGAGACATTTTGGAATGAAAGAAGGTTTTGATCAACTCAGAGATTAACTTTTTCTAGGGGAACAAAAAACGTTTTCTTCCGGAAGAATAAGATGAATGAAGTTACAAATGTATCAAGACTCTTTTTTGCTTCTTACAAAATCCAAAATATATAACTCCATGGACTAGTTTTAACGAAAAGTTTTTATAGTTTTCAATTTTTAGACTATAGATTAACATGTTTTAAAATTTAAAGACTTTTGAGATTTTTTGAAATAGATCTAAAATTTGAATTTCGCTGTTTTCTGTTATTAGATAAGCTGTTTTCGGATCAAATTTCAGATAAAATCACATCATTTTTTTCCGTCTGCAAACTCAAAAAATAATTCCTGTTGATCTGATACAAAAAACGGCTCAAAAAACAGCTCATTTCATGATATTGTAGGTCAAATGACGTGGATAAGATTTGAGGTGCATATAAAAAAAGTAAAGTTTAGATTCAGTTACATTCTCTTAAATCAAAAATCTTGAATTTTTTTCGGTGTTTGTACTATTTTCTATTTTCCTTATTGAGTCCATTTTTAAAAACGAAAAGTTCATTTTTTTTCATTATTCGTATTCAAAACGAGCTCATTTTTTCCTTCTTTTGCTCCTAATTTGTTTCTTGAAATGACGAATCATCGTGGTCCTTTTTTTTCTTCCCTGTTTACCATTCAGCTCCTTTTTTTCCCATGAGATCTGTTCGTACATATGTTGTCTCCAACGAATTTATGACTTTTCTCTCCACCCATATTTCCTCATTTTTGTATGAGTTTTTTGCTGCTTCTGCAGAAACGAAAATCACGTCACTTTTTTCCAACTAGTTCCCAGAGATCTGAATTCTATTGAGCCTTCTTACTATCAGTTAAGTCTACCTTTTCTGTTCTTTGTGGAAATTTCAACGTTTTGAAGGTCAATAAACCACTTTTCATGGAGGTCAAGTCATGAATAGACTATCAGATTTCAGAGAGACTCTCAACTTTCCCTCCAAATTCTCAACCCACTCAAAAATGCACATTCTTATGTCATTACTTTGTTTTTTTTTCGGCGGGAAAAATTCTTCCTTACACACATGTTTTTGGGTGTCTACCATCCGGTATCTTCTCACTCATTTCCGTTATGATTGGCATCTCAATATGAAAGAAAAAGAAACACACACTTCTTCAGTTATTCATGGTTTTTTGTCACTCCATTTTTTCTTCTTATTCACCAGTTCCCATTTGACACATCCGGATCTTTGATTGTCGTTTTTTCTTACCTTCAAGAAGACGCTTTGTATCGAAAAGCACTAGCAACGGACTACGACACAAAATTGTGACTTACTCACACTTTTGATTTTTGAACGGTTGCTACGAATTACTACGTTTTTGAAGGAAGGATAAACGTTTTGACGGCTTTCTTGAACTAAAGTCGGAGGAGGAGATGAAAAAAAAGTGTGAACTCCGTTTGCACATTCACAAAAACATCAATTGTTGAGTCTGTGACCTCATTTTGCCATCCAAAACGCCTCCATGTTTCTATTGAAACGTTTTCCAAAACTTCATTTCGAGTGTCTGCTCTTCTTTTTTGTCTAGGGCCGTATGCCAAACTATTGAAAAGATATCATACTTGGAAAATCAGGGCCGGGCCCGCCACTCCTCCGACCTGGCCCGGAAAAAAAACACATTTTTCAATGACAATTCGTTCTTTGCAAACTTTTTGTTAATACAAAATTTTCCTTATATATAAAACGCTAGACGCGTCTGTCTGTTCTGATGAAAGTCTGCGAACTTTTGAAAAGCTTGAAAAATACGTATAGAATTACGGGACACTTAAAAAAATTATTGAGAAGCGGAGCGACAAAACTGTATATATATACTAGCAGGCTGGTGCGCCTTCTGCGCGATTTAACCTAGTTTTTTTACTGATGCGTCGCTCCGCTCTTTATTTTTTCAAAGAGTCTCGTAAATCTATATTTATTTTTCAATTTTTTCAAAAGCGGACAGCCTGACAACAGGACAGACAGACGCGTGTAGCATTTTATATTTAAGGAAGATACTAGGTCAAATCGCGCCGGAGGCGCACCAGTTAGCTGGTTTAAACACGTTTTTCAATTAACCCCGAAAACTTTTGGAAAATATAGAAGAAAAAAGTACTGAAACCCCGGCCCAAAATGAGCGGATCTTGAAATTTCTGAAAAGCCCAACCCGGTCCGTTGGAAATATGAAAGATATCCCCCGAACATTTTCTGATCATTATACTTCATCTCAATTTCTTCGAACACTAATTCTTCCGGTACAAATTTTATGACATCCGGAAAAGCCTGGAAGAACTAGACGCCGTAAATGGAAAACAACCAAAAATTGATGTTTTCCAATCGAGGCTGTGTGTTTTTAATCAGCTACTAAATCTATTGGGAAACAAATTATATACGGCTGGAAACCAAGAACAGTTTTTTTTTCATTATTTTCGGCTACTGCCAAAACTTTGATCACTTTATATATTTTCTATTCTTATCGTAGAGAGCCATATTCCAGATCAAGTCACATCACTTTTTGAAGTGGAATACACTCTTCTGACTGCAAAAAATACTCCCTAACCTTTTTTCTCAGACAAGCATAATATTTCAAAATCTATGCTTTGATCCATTCTTTGAACATCAAGTTTCTGCCTCATTTAATTTCTGATACATCAGTGCAAATATATTTATTTTCCATGAAAACTTTTGATTAACGACCCACTCCTTGTCTCATCCTCCTTGATCGTTTCACAACTTTCAAATTTCCGAAAAAAACGTCATCTCTTTCGCCAGGTTCCCAAGGTGACAAAATAACTAATTCAAAAGCAAAAGTGCCAGAATTGACACCAAGCGAAACTTCCTCGCTTCGCTTTCTATTCTTACAAAACTTGATTTCCTTGTTATTACATTCTTTTCCTGATCTCTATAAATCCGGTGCTCTTCATCTCATTCCTTCAGAATGTCAGCGTCACCGATGCTTCAACACATGTACAGTTTAGACGAGAGCAGTCTGATGGGTGTATCCCATAGTCCAGTACAGCCATTCCTCCTCCTTCATTTCATGCTTTAACTATTCTCATTTTCAGTACCGACAACAACGAAAACGGCGTGCTGGAATCTCCGGGGCCACGACAAGTGTCCAAAGAGACGGTCCGTTCGCATGTGCTGGGGGTACTGGGTACAGTAGTGCAGGTGTGTTCGTTTTGCATAACCCGACCGGCTAAGACTGTGTGTTGATTGCATTGAAATGACTAAATGATGTTGATTTGAAAAATGACCGTTTTTGAAATAAAAAATTTTGATTTCAGGTTTTTCAAATGGTCGAGGGTTTCCACCACTGGGAGGAAGATCTCCACAATCTTCATTTGATTCGAATCAAGATGTTGCACAGGTCAGATTTTTGAAATCCAGCTGCTATGTTTGGGAGATTCATAACTGTTGTTTTCAAAACTATTTCCTTATTTCAAACCGGAAACAAGCTTCAACTTTTGAATATTGGTTTCAGAATTAGCTTATTAAACGACATACCGTGAAACCTGCAATAGAAGGTCCCCCCACCGTGTCTAGTTATTTTTCTGGACACTTGGGAAAGAAAAAAATTTGTCAGCTGATAATTTGAGTGCCCTTGTATTACAGGGGTTACGGTAGTACATTTTGTTGAAAATATTCATGATCACTTCATCTGGAGAAGTTGAAATCTCATAAAAAACTCTAAAATTTAAATTAGCTACTTCTGGAGACTGAGTTCGCCGTGGTATTATTTTCTTTGATTTCTAGTTTTTGAGAATACTCCCAATCACTCGTAAAGAGGTATAAGAAGTCATGTTGCCAAAATTAGTTTTTTTTTCTAAAACGTCTTCTCCCTCAATCACTTTTCATGCACGCTTCAACGCACATTTCAGAACGTTTCTTCATTCAAAAAAAAGTTTTTTTTCGTGCAAAGAATGAATTTCGTCATGGTTAGGTTCCTACCTTTTGTTTTCTCATTATTCCAGTTTCTTCTTAGTTTTCGAACAGAAAGAAAGACTTGGATTGTTTTTCAGCTTCTTCGAAATAATTCGGAAATCTTTCTTATTCTTTTTTTTTTTGACAGTCGTGCCATTCGATGGAGACATGAAAAATTACTGAAAAGTTATTCCCAACTTATTTCTTTTTTGTCTTTTCCCATACGCACCAAAATCAATTTATCGACATCACGGAGCTTCGCGGAGTCAATAAAAATGAGGAAAATAAAGTGAGAAGAAGCCGTTTATTTTCCTTTTCTGACATGCTAAACGCGGATATGAGAAGAGTGAAGAATGGAACAGAATATTCTTTTCCATGTATTTTCTTTCCTTTCGAACGGTGGTCATGGATTATCCAGGCTTCTTCTGCTTTCTATACTTATTATCGTCTTGTAGGTCTTGTTACCAAGAATCCTATTTTGTTCTGTCTCGATCAGACTTAAATCCTTGTACTACTCTGGTCTAGTTTCAACGCATGTTGCGGCTGAAAACTCAAGAATGGGCGGAGCTTANGTCTGTTAAATTANCATGTATTTTGGTAATAATTTTCTGGCCTATTTTTTCGATTTTTCATAAATTAGAACAAAAAATCGCAAAAAATTGGAACAATGAAAATTACTTAAAAATCAAAAAAATAGGCCAGAACAGTCTTACGAAAATACATGCTCCTTTCAGTACACCTTAAAGGATTTCACTACTGACCTAAGCTCCGCCCACCCTCGAATTTTCGGACGCAAAGCGCATTGAAATTGGAAAAGGGTAATCTTCCTTAAAACGCTAGAGGCGTCTATCCGTCCTCGTGTCCGTCTGTGGACTTTTGAAAAAATTGAAAAATACATATATATTTACGTGACCCTTTTCTTAAGAAAAAAAAAGTGAGAAAGGAAGCGACGAACATTTGAAAAAAAATAGATTGAATCGCGCCGAAGGCGCACCCGCTTGCTGGTATACTGAAATCAAATACATTTTTCAACTAAAATTTCAACGAATTGATATTTTTCACCCCTAGTTTAGGATCTGGAAGCAATAATATTATTGTTGGAACTGGAGTGACAATTAGAAATTCCAGCTGTTATTCCATCGTTACCGAATACAACAAGCGTATTGAATTACCTGAAAAAAAAACAAGGTCACATCCTTCCTTTTTTTATTTTTTACTCTCTTTTTCCTCTCATTTTCACAGCTTCACAGCTTCATCTCATTTCTAGACGATATTTTTCTTCATCATTTTCGAAATTCTTCTCATCAAAATATCTTGTCTTCTTCTTATTTTTATTCGCTTCCTTATCCTCTGTTTTCTTCCAATTTTAAAGTAGTCTTCGTAGTTTTTGTGGTGGTTTTCTCTCGGAAGGCAAAATGATTAGACGGAAACCTTCTAGATCTTTCTTCATTTTGTTTTAGAATTTCACAACTTCGATCAGAGTTCATAGCAAAGGTTACCTTCAAAAGGTGTCAACGATCTAAGTGATTTGTGAACTTTTGTAGTATTCTATGAATTTAAAATGAACTGAAATCGTCTTCAGTTTGTGTGGGTTGGAAGTAATTGCTTTTGATTTTCGAATTGAGTTTTCTTTTGTTTGAAAGTTTCAAGTTGAATTGAATTATTAAATTGAATTTTTTTTCAAATTTAAACTGATCAGCGGAAACCGCTTAATCGACATAATATAGAAATTGAAGATTTGTTATTCGTACATTTTATGAAAATACGAGCTCATAGTAATAAGTTCATGTGTATGGTAATAAGTTCATGCACACATGGAAAATCAAACAATCATCCGGCATAACCCGTTATTTCATTTTGGAAGAACCACCAGAAACTCAAGTTTTTCAAATATTTTTAACTGACAAGAGAGCATCATTCCAGATTTTGATGAAAATTTCAAGATAGGTGGAAAATAGCCTCCCTAGATACCTTTGGAAACTTTAGGACCCGCTCGCCAATGAATCTCCAAGTGGTGGAAAAATCTCCAAGTGGTGGAAAAAATCGAAAATAAATAAAAAATTCCGAGAATGTCTGGAAAATAAACTTTCCTCCAAAGTTCTGAAACGTCCTAGAAATTGATATAATCCTTTTTGACAATCTCTGTTTTTGTCTTGAAAACGCGATTTTTGTTACTGGAACTGGTATAACTTGGCTGAAAAGACTATTCTTAACCTATACTGAGAATTTCATCAAAAATCTGGATGAACAGGGCTTTGAGGTTCCCTTGTGAATAATTCACAAGGAATTGATGATGCTTCCGTTTTTTTCAAACCTCAATTACCTATCCATTCAGTCTGAAATCCCTTTTTCGTGTCCCCATCAAAAAACACTCTCCTCCCCATAGCAAAAAAAAACTTCCACAATCCTGATTCAGTTAACATCTGAATACCAGGAATTGATATTGCCTCTTTTCATTTTCAGTTCCCTTTCCTCTTTTTTTCCCGCAATTATTAGTCTCTTGGAGTGTTTCGTTTCGGTTTTTGGCACCCGAAAAACTGGCATTCAATTACTTTTTTCTTTCCTTTTGACCCCTTTTATTTCCCCTTTTCCGTCCTAAAAATAAGTCTAGTTCAGTTTCAGAGATGATGATACCACAAAGAAGGACTGGATCTAGAATTGATCTTCTTGATCCAATGATTCGAGGGCAAAAATCTCGTAGAAAAAGGGTTGATTATGATCAAGTTAGTACTATTGCGGGATAGGAATCATTGAAGTTTATGAAATTTGATTGATTTTGAAGTTTCAGATATCCATGAATTGGATGAGAATGAACGGACTTGGTCCATCGCTTCGACCGTTTTTGAATGGAGGAAATCACACTCCAAAGGTAGCAGAATGTTTGTTTTCATGAAAAAAGGAAAAAGTGATTTTTCAGAAAACAATAATCCATAATTCCCAATCAACTACTCAAATCTCTCGGCTGGGATCACTTCGTCGGATGCATGCAGCAGAAGCAAGTATTGATGGAAAATTGTCATTAAGTGGAACACAAGCTGATGTGACAGCTGTCTGTGCAACAGGTAGGAAACTTTTGGTATTTTCAGAAAAGCCAAAAAATTCTCTGAATAAAGAAACTGTCATGAGAGTTCAGAAGGGTGATTTTGACGGTTGAATGATTTGAAAGAAGTTACGTTTGACTGATAATCGTTGCCAAGAAAAATCTCGTGCTACATATCATTTTCAGCTTTGATTCCAGATTTTCGTAGGCAGATTTTTCAGACTTCCGCGAAGCCTAAAATTTTCATCACAAGAATTTTGTTATCTCGCATTTTCCGAATTCTTCTGATCTTGTGGAATTATTCTCAAAAGTACATTATTTTTTGAATAATTCGAGTTCCTGTAACGAAAAACAACAGCTATGACATATCAAGAAATCCAGATAAATCTAGTCTGATCTCCAAAACCAGTAAATAAATGAGAAGCAATTATAGAATTTCTTCTTTTGCGAGTTTTCTGAAAATGCTAAATGCTTCATTTTCGGTTACTCCCAAACACAAGCTGATCTGTTTTGAGTCACAATATTCTTTTTTTTTCTTCTCGCTCAAGTAGTTTTTCTCTCATTTTGTTCATTAGTCCATCCAGTTTTTTGGTCTACACTTTTTTCTTTTTCTCTCCTTTTTCTTGTAATTATGAACTATTTTTCCTAGTTCTTTCTCTGGCCTTTCGCACCGAAAAACTGCGAGATAAGTGCATTAGTAAAAGGCGTTGTGTCCCTTATTCTTTTGGAAAATCTGAAATTGGACACCTGCGAGCACCTCTCGATTTATATGCATATAATTTCAGTCCCTTCTCTACTCCGTTTTTCGCGTTTTTTTTTCTATCGAAAAAGAATGTGTGTTTTCGCATGTTTTTCATCATTAAAAAGCTGATTTCTGCTCTTCCTTTTTCTATCCCACTCCCACTAAAAATACTATCAAATTTGTCGCTAAAACGGAGTCAGCTTTCGCACGCTTCAAAAGATTTCTGAAAGAAAAAAGAATAAGAATGAAAAGAAAACACACACAAGAAGAATATGAACGATTCGTGAGGAAACAAAATTATGAATCAACTATCCGTTTTTTCTTCTTTGACTCAAAAGATTTTTGAACACGGAACGGAGTTTTGAAGATCTTTTTGACGTCATTCGGAGCTATGACAGCTCCAGGATCTGATTTATAATGATCCTATTTTATCGTTTCGAATCTGTTTGCCTTATACTGCTCACCAATCGTCCACTCTGGCATTTGAGAATCCGAAGCCCCAGAAAACATTCAGTTCCTGCTTTTTTGGTTCTACCAGTGGATTCGTTTTTGGTAAATTGTCCCAATGAGTCGATTTGTGACTTCTTTAGAATGAAATCCTTTTAGTTTTATTGATAACGATTTTTCGAAGGTTTACTGCTATCTAATACCGTAAAACCTTTAATAGGAAAGACTCCTACTTCAAACTTTGAGCCAATTTATCTCGATTCCTGTCAAAGATATCAAAAAAACTGTCAACTGATAAATTTTTTATAATGATATAGGAAAGGGGGTATTTCAAAATTTTTTAAATCGTCGATTTTTTTTTTGAAAATCCAGAAAAGTCTGTGACAATTAGACAGATCTCATTACTTAAAGTATAAAAAGTGTACACTATGTTGAATTTTGATGAAAAAAGCAGAGATGTAGGAATCTCAATGATTTTACATTCATTATGATTTTTTATTCATTTCTCATTAATTTATTCATGTTCACGTGAAAAATATTTATTTAGATCATCAAATATAAAAAAAGAAGATATTTTTTAAAAAAACACAGAAAAGAAGGCACTTCTTTTCTGTATAGAAAAGAATAGACACGTAAAAAGACAGAAAAGAATCAACTTCCTTTCTGTGCTTTTTCTGTGTGGGGGAAAATAATTCAAATTATTCCTGATAACTACGTGAACTTTAACTATACAGAGTTAAAGCTACGTTGAACTTGGAGTTGAAACAAAAACTCGAGAAGGTGAATTTGAGTGGTGAGCTGAAGTGATGGCGGATTTGAAGATTGGCGACATCCACTGTGAGTACTTGATATGAACCTGTTCAGGGTCTCATTTTAGCTGCTGGATTACTTTTCAAAATC